CAGAAATTGACTTTGGCATGCAAAAGACTGATAAATTCATAATTAACGGCATGGGTTCGGTCGACAGAAATACGGGACACAAAGGCCTATAATAGCAGCTGAAATGTTTGCGGGGCAAATCTCAGATCAGTCTGAGCGCTCATGGTACTCGCAGTGCGTACAGCCGTACACCTGCAGGCGCCACAGACTCGGACGGTTGTCGTGGTAATAAACACCGTAAACAGCAAAGGTTCGCGTGTCCGCGCTTAATGCGCATATCCTATATGAAAAGCATTTTAGGGGTCCCAAGGCGGTCGCCTACCTTTGCCTAATGGGTAAGTCCGACCCTGCTTTCATTCACTGCTTTTTTTCTCTGTGTTTCCTATAATTCTCACCACCAAATTTTTCGACAGTTTGTGTATAAGAGATCAAGTTGTTTCATATAGACATCAAGCGAGTTTGTATCATTGAAATACTATTATAGTTTTTAGTTTTTTTAATTAGTTTTTATTTTTGTTTTCTCCATTTTCATTTTACATTTACCTAAAAACTGTAGTAATTTTGCTTAGTTTTTTTTGTCTTTTATATTCGTTTTTGTTTTCTAAAATATGTCTATATAGTCTTTATAAATTTTTTATTTCCGTTGTATTTTGTTGATTTTAGTACATCAAGTTAAACTAAATGAAAATAAAAAATATTGCTTTGGCAATACCTGAAATAAAGAAAAGTTTTTTTTTATTTTTATTTTTTTTTATAAATACATTTTATTTTATTCCTACATTTTAACCCTAAATGCCATGAAAAGAGCCTGTAATTTTAATTTTGAGTACGTAATTTTATTAAGTATGAGAATTTTCTCTCACTTTTAAGGCCCGGGTATATTTCACTTTTCACGTTCCATCTCGTGCACAGCTTTCATAGTACATTCAACCACGGATGAGCATGAATATACTGATAAAATGCATATAATACTGATAAAATGCATATCATGAATTCTCTGAAAGTCAAAGTCACTTTGGAAAAAAAAGTGTCTATTGAATGTAAATGTAGGCAGGCAGTACACAGGGTTTTTGAGAGACAGCCAGGTTTTGAGAGAGTCTGATGTGTTCTTTCATTCCCCCAAAAACACAGACAGATTCTCTCTCTCTCTCTCTCTCTTTCTCTCTCTCTCTCTCTCTCTCCCTCCATTAACCCATCCTTTTATTACTTATACTTCACACAGTCCAGCCGAGCGCTCAGGGGAGTGAGAATTACAGTCCTGTGCTTCTACAGTCTCACTCAGCTCTGCTGCTTTATTCATGAGCAGACCAAAAGATTCAGAGAAGACCGATTAAAAGAGAGTGTGAATGTTTTAGTGCAGAGTGATCTGTTATTGAACTGCTGTGTAATTGTTGTGATAGTGTGTGCCAGCACTTGATGAAAAGCAAGAAAAATATTCCATAATATTAACATTTTAAAACATTGACACAAAATTTAAAATACTGTCCATTATTGACAGATAAAATATACAGTATCTGGTCTTTTGCATTTCCCTAATTAAGAAACATTCTCACAGTAAAGGAATAGTAATTAGAAGTGAAGAATTGGGGAGAAAATAGAGTTTTAAAGTGTCCCTGTGAAGAAAAGACTGGGAGTGGGAAGGAAGAGAAAAAAGAGATCTCAAGTGTATTCCAGTGGAATAATTCACATGGCGTTGTTCATTAAATTGGACATACCGGAGTGTCTGCTTCACACTGTGAGAGCAGAATTTTAAAAAAAATGAAACAATTCATAATCCCTGTGTAGTAATTACCGTGATATATCGCATTACTGAATACCGGCACAAGTCTACCCCTGTGATTGGTTTGACTAAAAGAGCCCTTGCTGTAGTTCTTGTGATATCAGTCACGTTAAAAATGCTAAACATTACAATATTTTACTGACTTAATATTGTGAAGTGACATGGTTATTTTTAGTGCGTCCTCATATAAGTGGAGGTCTGAATTTGACACAGTTGTTTGATTATTAATAGAATTACACTACATTAAAAGGTTTAGAATTTACTCCAGTAAAAACAGTAATATTATGAAATATTACAATTTAAAGTGCCCCGATTATGCCATTTCGAATAATGCCTTTCATGCAGTGTCTAATGTAGCTGTATGTGAATATAAATGATCTGCAAAGTTATAAAGGTGAAAGTGCATGATAAATGAAGTTATTGTCTCCCAAAAGAAAGAATCAACTCTGAACAGCCTAAATGAGTCGTCAGTAATTCGAATCCCACTTCCGTGTGGCTACACGTCACAAGGTAACACATTTGCATAATGCCTGATGTTCTACGTTGGCCGACTTAACCCCACCCCTCACTGTAGCTTCATGTAGTTAACATCATGTCGAGAAGACACTGTGTCCTACACTCTGAAAGTAAATTTATTTTATTTTCACTAACGAAAGATGAGGCCACAAAGAATAAGTGGGTAAAATTCACTGCAGTATAACCCCAATCTTTTTTTGTGTTTTACTGACGACTGCTTCTCTAATCTCGGTGAGTTCAACACGACATTCACAAAACGCTTTCACAAAATGCTTGCTCTTGTTCTTGAAAGATGGCTCAGTACCTAGTTTATTTGGACCAGCTGGCTCCACTGAATCACAACCTGTAAGTATGATAAATAATAGATGTTTATATTTTCTATCGAGTGTTCAAAACACGGAACTATGGCTATGGGTGTATCGTTTCCAACACACACAGTATGCGGTAGACCAATCACAGCAGACTAAGCCATCTGACCAATCAGTGCAGAGTAGGCTCACGGAAAGGAGGGGTTTAGAGAGACTGAATCTTAGAACTGCTTCGAATGAATTGTTTGAGAATCGTTGGAAAATGAGGTGATATTAAATGCATAATTCACAAAATGTTTGCTCTTGCAAGATGGCTCAGTACCCAGTTTATTTAGACCAGCTGGCTCCACTCAGTCACAATCTGTAAGTATGATAAATAATAGATGTTTATATTTTCTATCGATATTTTGAAAAAACGAAAGTGTTTTTTGACCTTGCATGCATGTAAACCTATTGTAGGAGAATCCCAAAACAATATTAGGAACCTTAAAATGGCATAATATGGGCACTTTAAAATAACTGTTTTCTATTTTAATATTTTTAAAAAATATAATTCATTTCTGTGATTCCAGTGCTGAATTTTCAGCAGACATTACTCCAGTCTTCAGTGACACATAAAACATTTCTTATTATTATCACAAAAATAGTTGAAAACAGTTGTGCTGCTTAATATGTTTGTGAAAACCGTGATTTGACATTTTGACCATGATGGCTTTTTTTTTTGGTTTATTTGATGAATAGAACAATATAGGTTTGTTGACATTTACTGTCTAGAAGGTTTTCCAATCACTTTCCGACCAAAATAATAACTAGACACACAAAAGAAAGCAGGAAAACACACGTCTGCTGTCCCACCGGGCTATAACAGCGCTCTTTTCATGTCTCATTAGCAGCATACTTGTCCGCTTTAGTTGCCAGGCGTTGTTGTCTGTGTGCCCAGATCACTGAACCATTGCACTTGTATCAGTGTGTGTGATGCCTGTGACTGTCTTTATTACCGTTTGTCTGTGGTCATAGGTGGTCTGTAAACGGGAACAGACCACAGGTCCTTTTTCAAAAACAGGGACCCAGTTATGTCAGACGTCTCTATTAAATACAGGCAAATGATTATTCAGCACTAAATGCTTAAGGCATGCTGGTTCAACCGAAAAGACAATGTAATCATATTAGGTTGTGAGATTTGATGTTATAGAACTGATTTCAAATTTCATACTAACACTTTTTACCTTTACATTGGCTTTCATTTTGTACATAGTGAGGAAGTTCCAGGGCTATGTGTTTTGGGTCAGTTAATTATACAGTCACTCGCCTTGTCGGGCCAGTTCTGCTTTGTCACCTTTAAACATTTGGTTTTATATGACATATTGAACATTGTTATCCAGCTGACTAACAAAGATTATTTTTTTTGTTTATTAAAGAGCAGGTCATATGGGTTTTCAAAAAATATCTCTTTTGCAGTTTGTAAGGTAGCTATCCTTCAATGTAAACAGTCTGCAAAGTTGTTAATCAAAAAAGTGCATGATAAATAAAGATATTGTCTCTCAAAAGAAAGAGTCGACTCAGAATCGCCTTAACGAGTCGTTATATTTTCAAATCTTCTGCCTGTTACCGATTTACGTCACTGGGTAACACATTAGCATAATCCCCACCTGCCAACTAAATACGAACACTCTCTATGTCGAGAACATGCTGTGTTCTACGATACCACAGCAATACAATTCGAACCTTTTGTTGTGTTTGTCATTTTACCGAGGACCGCTTCTCTAATCTTGCCTTTTATCTTCGTTGGCTTCTAATCTTTTTTATTTGGACCAACAAGCTTCTCCGAACCACAACCTGTAAGAACGATTGATACGTTATGTGTACATTTTCATGTACATTTTCATTATATTTATGGTTATAAGTAGGGCTGCACGATAAATCGCATGCGATTTATCGTGCAGCCCTAGTTATAAGTAAATCAAGGAAATTATCTTATACATTTAAAAAGATGAAATCTAAATAAAATATACATGTATTATGAATTTAAAAACCATATTTAAAAAATGTGTGAAAATATAGTTTTCTCTTAAATGTCATTTTTATATTGGCTGTGAGGATTCTCAGTTTAAATTTGTTTATTTTATAGCTGTTTTTTAGTTATTCATTTTTCAACAATTAAAAACCTAATAGGCCTAAATGTATTGTAAAACCTAAATTTTAAGTAAGTTCAGGAAATTTTCATATACTTTTACAAACAATGACACATTTAAAAAACAAATTATTTTTCTCCTAACTGTATGTCTCTCTGTATTTTCTCAGTTTAAATGAAAGTTTATTTTATAACTCTAGAAATATACTTCCTTATTTGGTGTTGATTTGAGTTCATTAGCTGGTTGATTTGTGTCTTAACGGGTCTCCCTGTTTCTCTCTCTCAGCAGTAGTCAGTCATGCCGCTGGTGAAGAGGAGTATCGAGCCCAAGCATTTGTGTCGAGGAGCTCTGCCTGATGGAGTGCCCAGTGAGCTGGAGTGTGTCACCAACAGCACCCTGGCGGCCATCATCAAACAACTGGGCAGCCTGAGTGAGTGGCATCCTGCTTTTCTCTCTTTTTCTCTCCAGTATTAAAAAAAAATCATTATTCATCCTTTTGGCAGTATTCAATTCATAGGGTGTTTTTTTTTATTTTTATATATATATATTTAGTGTAGACACTGTAAAAATATAGTTAAAATAATTGGGCCATAATTAGTCAGAAAGAGCTTTATTGCCAAGTATTAGGGCTGCATATGAAGTGAGTTTGGAGTAAAAACATGTTATTAAATGTGGTATTTTCACATGCAGATTAAATGCAGCGACCCAAAACCGTGAATCTAATCATCATTCAGCAGTGGTGGACAAAGTACACAAATCAAGTACTTGAGTAAAAGTACAGATACGTATAATAAAATATTACTCCAGTAAAAGTACTCCTTTTTCAATTTTACTCGAGTGAAAGTA